CACACTTTGTCTAATCTATATTAATTAATATTGGTTATTTATCACTATCAAACTGAGTAACAGAGGCTAATGGTTAATGATACTGATTAATCCTATTGTTAATTTCAAGCATAGAATATCTGAAAATTAATGTTGTTCTACATGTTATATGCTTCCTCAAAATACTAGAATTAAATATCAGCTTTAGCTCTAAATGAAGTTAAAGACTCAATTTTGGGACCATCATTAGCATGAATAATTCATACATTCATCCATTTGCTCATTCATCCAACAAAGTTCAATTTATGTTATAATGATACTATGTTAGATATAAGGCATAAAATATTTGAAAGAAACATCTCTATTCAGGAATGAGGAAAACAAATGTAAGAATAACAATATTATAATACTCACTTTCCCTTCATCTCTTGGGCTATCACTTAAATGTACAACCGGACCTGGATGAGTCTTTGTGGATCTGTTAAATCAATTCAAAACAGAATATTAAAAAATAAACATTAAAACAATTTACAGTTAGAGACCGAAACAAAGAAATTAAGATACTACTGAAATGCTTATTGTCATTGAGTCACTTCCACCTCATGGCAAACCCATGTGTGTCGTAATAGAACTCCTCCATACAGTTTTCTTGGTTGTAATCTTTATAGAAACAGATCACCAGGCATTTATTTCATGGTGGAGTCAGACCACAAAAGCCCTCATGGCACAGGGGCTAAGTGTTTGACTGCTAACCAAAAAGTCAGTGGTTTAAATCCACTAGCTGCTCCATTGGAGAAAGATGTGGCAGTCTGCTTCCATAAAGATTTATGGGGAACTTCTACCCTGTCCTATAAGGTCACCACTATGAGTCTAAATTTACTTGAAGGCAATGGGTTTGTTTGTTGCTTTTTAGTTTTATTTTGTTTTTATTTTGGGGGTGGCAGGGCAGTGGCAGGAATTAGTTGAGTGTAAATTGTTTACACCACCCAGGGACCTTGTATTGGAATTCACTCCCAATATTCAGGGAGTCCTGCTGTAGGTTAATGTGCCAGACCACACAGTCATTTGAACTACAAAGTCAGCAGTTCAAGCTCACCAGCTGCTCCTCAGAAACCCTATACAGGGTCACTATGGGTTGGAACCAACTCAACCGCACTTTACAGCATCAGCTGTTCAAATGCATTACAATTTTTGGTTGTTTTATTTGCTGATATCTAGGATAAGCACTGAGGGGAAAAATAAGGCTTTCTGCTCCAACAAAGATTACTAAGATCTCGGAAACCTTATACACGAAACCTACTCAAAGACACTTAACAACAACAAAGGATAAGCACTGGACTACTAACCACAAGGTCAGCAGTTCAAAACCACCAGCTGCTCCTTGGAACCCCTATATAGGGTTGCTATGAGTCAGAACTGACAACAGCACTTAACAAGTCTATTAAAGTAAGAGTGATTTTATAAAAAATCAGATTTAATAGCATAGATCCACATAATAATGGGATCCTTTATCATCTGTAATGATTGATCTGAGACACAGATCATTTAAAATTGAAATTTTATTTATGCAGACTAAAGAATTCTATAGCCATAATACTTATGCTATAAACCTGCTTCAACCAAACTGCAAAGTCATCCCTGATTTAAGATTTCCTTTGACATGAAATCTCTTTTGATTTTGTCCCTAAAGAAAAGTACATCCATGAATTATTCCCACCCCCTCCACACAGAGTGGATAGGGATGGGCAACTTGAACATTGGCTACCCAAAATTGGGGGAGGGATACAAAGGTAAGAAGTGACTGGCTTACAAGCTTTCAAGAGGGAACCTAGATCCACAGGGCAGGGAGGATAGTAGAGTCTCCAGTGAATACTACCCAACCTGTCTAGGAAGGACTGATGAAAAGAAATCGAGATGGGTCTCATGTAATGCAATGGTGAATAATTGTTACCAGGACTGATTGTGAGGTCTGGAAATGTAAAGGTGGGTATTTTATAGCAAGCAGGGGAGAGACTAACCTTTCAGTCTAGGAGCGGAGGGCCCTGGGACCATCAATGGAGAAGAGCAGAGAGTGGGACCCCACCCAGAGAAGCAGTGAGGCCTGAGATGGAGACAGAGAGGATGATGGGAAGAGATGGAGTGACTGGGGACTTGAGATCCAGAGAGGGAAAGGGGCTGTGTGCTGAGGACCGTGGGGCGGGGGAGGGGGCATGCAGGGTATACTCTTTGGTTGGGGGATGACGCATGGACGGGATGGTAACCATGGCAATGAAATGATGTATGACAGAATGAATGTAAAACTAATGTTTTCCCATGTAAACTATCACACAATATACAATAAAACATTCATTTTAATAATAAAATAAAATAAAAGTACAATGGCCCCTTTTAAAGAAACGATCTCTAATGATGGTCCTTTGCTATGAATTGACAAACTCAGAAAGCTGCTTCTGACTGCTTCGTACTGGACTGCTAACCACAAGATTGATAGTTCAAACCCACTAGCCACTCCTTGGAGATCCTATACAACAGGGGTGGGGAATGTGCAGCCCACAGGCTAGTAAGCCCACAGAATCATTTTATTTGGTCCTGACAAGGCAACTGCAGTTCCAACCATCACATTGGTGGTAGTGGTTATGTGCTGTGGAGTCGGTTCTGACTCACAACAACCCTGTATAGGTTTTCTGAGGCTGTAAATCTTTTTTTTTATTTTAAGGCTATAAATCTTTATGGAAGCAGAAAGCCTCAACTTTCTCACATGGAACAACTGTTAGTTTTGAACTTCTGACCCACAGCAACCCTGTATAGGGTTTCAGAGGAGTAGCTGGTGAGCTTGAACTGCTGACCTTGCAGTTCAAATGGATATGCAGTCTGGCACATTAAGCCACAGTGCCACACTAGGACTCCATCTATCACACTGTTGTTGTTGTTGTTGTTGTTGTTGTTAAGTGCTGCCAAGTTGGTTCCAACCCATAGCATTGGTAATGGTGGTGATGTTCCATGGAGTCAGTTCCGACTCATAGTGACCCTGTACAGGGTTTCCGAGGCTGTAAATCTTTACGGGAGCAGAAAGCCTTATCTTTCTCCTGTGGAACAGCTAGTAGTTTAGAACTGCTGACCTTGTGGTTTGCAGCCTGATTCGTAATCACTACACTACCAGTGTGCCTTAACTCATAGCATTAGGGGTGAGTTAAGTAAATGTTTGACTAAGCACACATAGCAGGCTAATTTTTAAGTTGATAACTTTGTATGGCCTGTGACTGATGTTATAAATGTTGTCAGTAAAAGGGTTGCTACTGAGTCAGAACCAACTCATCGGCACTTAACAAAAACAACAAAGATAATTATGATTCTAAACATATTGCTAAAGGGACCTGTACAATGTCAAATTTACTTTAAACTCCATCTAATCTGGTATTTGTCATTATTTTGTAATTTGTAGTTTATATCTTTCAATATGATTATGTCATGGTTAAATACAATATGACTTAAAATTTATTACTGCTCAATTTCTCACAGCCTTTCTTTATGGCCCAATTTTGCCAGAGTAATTCTATCATAATTATTATGCTATAGTTTCAGTTTATTTCTTGATCATACATGAAAACCATCAAAAATGCTATACAAAACAATGAAGATTTAAACTCAAAAAAGCATTTGAACCAGAGAAAAGTGACAAATTAAGTAACTCCACATTTCCCTGTTACCGACTTCCCAGAGTGATTCAGAGGAGTAAATACAGGTTTATTAGATGTTTGTAATGAATACATTGTAAGTTTTCTCATCTAAAAATGAGAATAGTAGTATTGACCATACTGAATAATTGAGGATTAGAAATAATATACATATTTTTGCTGTCGGTTGTTGTTGTTGTTGTTAAGTGCCATCGAGTCGGGTCCGACTCATAG